TGAGCACATGGCCAAAATGGGTTATGGCAAGTTTCAGGTGGGCCACAGAAAATGTATAATTGAATATGTAAAATGGAAATAATTTTTTACACTATACTAATTTCATGAGCCACAGAAAAATTCTGTTTTCAAAGTGGGCCATGAGCTAAAAACGTTGGGAACCCTCTGAGTTAAAACACCTATAAATATTCCGTATTGATTCAGTAGGTGCAAAAGATATGTAATAAAACATCACAAGATAGTATTTTTCATCTGTACCTCATTATACATGTGACTGTAATAACTTTCAACTTGGATATGCAACGCATTCATGTAGTGTCTGATTGCTGCTGATACCGCTCTTACCTGTGCACGTATTACTCTGAACATGTACCTTTTACCTGGAATCTATCTGTATTATACGTACTGTTAATCTTGGCATAATTGAAACGTATTCAGCATGTTAAAACCTTACTTTCCGACGGTGTATATACTTCATCCAAACATAATTCTACAAGCCTTTGAATTAACTAAACAAATTTATTAACTCTTGAACATCTTGTTTTAATAGCTCTTCAAACAATTTAACCATAAGTGTTTAATTAATACACTTTGTTAACACTCAAAACATGCACAAAATTCATTGATGAAATAAAGTTGAAGTTATTGCTCAATTTTACTTATATAGATTTTGTGACTTTTATAAAACTAGATAAAATGTCAATCCATCTCAGTCAGCTGGCTAATGATTTTATTGTGAGACCGGAACTACCTACACAATAGACTCTTCCAGGTCTATATTAAGTATGCGACACAACACTCTACAGAGTGAAAGAAAGTGACACACACACAGACAGTGAGAGTCTCGTACGACTACCAGTGTTGGACACTAACATATAGTAAGCTCCGCTTACAATATTTCTGTAACCTGTTGTTAATATATCTTTCTTACATCTAATCCGTGTTCCGTGTTTTACTTCTGTGGTCCCAACTTTGGCACCCACATCAGATTTGAATGTCTTTTTTAAGCCACGTTCATAAATGATTATTAGCAGAAACGAAAATAAACAAGAAAACATTACAGTAATTAAACCTCTTTATTAACATCGTTAATTAGTCACTGTAGTGGAGCAAGAGTAAAGATTCGGTAAATTTATTATTCGCTGCAAGAATTAGAAGGTGTTTGAAAGGTAAATCTTTACAATGTTGTTCGAACCAAACACAGATATGATATTGAAATATGCAATTATAATACACATATCAGAGTATCAACGTTATAAGCAGATATAAACAATCCGAGAAAGTTTTATGTGTAAACGAGAAAAGATAGATATGAAAAGAAGATAGAGAAATAAGGAAATATATATAAGCAAAACTTGCCAACCTTTCTTATTTCCCTATGTGAAATTCAAATCATGATAATTGATTCGCTTAAACTTCAAGTAAATGGTGGAATGCATCGTCTTTAATATGCAAATCGTCATGACAGACGCCATTTTGAGGTCACTGCAATGGTGGAGGCTAAAATTTGTCAAACAGATTCTCTATAGCCCTGTAGCTATCGTTCAAACATGAAAATCTTTCGCTGTCCTGTTTCTCCGCGAACAAATCTTATTATGGATGTCTAAGGAAAAGATCTGGAAACCATTCTTTCTTTAACTTTGTTAACAGAAACCGAGTCGTTAACCGACATTTATTAGATCGTCTGCAAATCTGTCAGGAGACCAGCAGTATGCTAACTATATATTAATATCCTGAACAAATGGCGGTTGTTACAATTTGTTTAGAATCTAGGCACTTCTCTAATATCAATCAATTACAGCTCGATGCATATTTGACTGAGATTTTAATACGACCGTTTGAGAATATTCACTAGTTTCGTTTCTTTTTATCTACTTCTGCTTCTTTTAAGGTCTTTCTTTTTCTTTTCTTTTCTTTTCTTTCATTCGTTTTAATGACATTCCCACCGTAAGATATGAGTTCGACTCTCACCAGGATCTGTTTGTCAAGGACGTGATATCTTGATAATATCTGTGTGCCGAGATGATCCCAACATGAGGCACTGTTGATTTGGTTTGTTTAATGGCATATCAACTCATTATGGGTCATTTAATGTCGAAATTTAATTTGGGTGGGATCTTTGATATTTAAAATAAAAATGTATTGCCTGCAATTTTCTCTTCTTTTTCAATAATAAATTGATGGTAATTTTTCTTACAACAAAAATGTATTTTTTTTACTTTCATAATGTTTTGATCCTAGTCTGGATGTTCCGTAGTTACCCATAGCTGGGTCTCTAACAGATGATACCACTCCGAGTCAGGATGACCAGCAATTAAGAGATAGTCCCACGCTACTCAAAACCTCCCGATCGGATGACTTGCTGCCGGATGTAGTTTATCGTCATACCCAGAAAGTAGCACTGTAGAGAATTGTTTCAAAAACCGAATTGTTAGTGAAACGCTGTAGACAAAACTGTTCAGAAGCTACCCGTTCGTTGTGTTAGCAGAAAGTCACCAGTTAAACTTACCGTCCTTTTTCAAACTGTGGATCCAGCCAGATGATACGTGCTCTCCCAGAAACTGTAACTAAGGTCTGTTCAGCATAGTTGCAGTATAAATAACAAGCTGTCACTGTGAGTTTTGAAGCAGATACGTACGCTCTGATACGAGCAGCCAATCGTACATTTTTTTTTTTTTTTTTTTTTTTGCTATTTTTGATGAGATGCTTATATTCAATGAAGTTTTAACTATTTTTACATTTCTTATTGTTGATATACAGAACTTAGAGATAAGTGGAATGTTTTCCATTATATTTCATCTTCGCTGATGTTTTGTAGTTAGATTTTGCAATGTCTTGTTAATACTCAATGAATGTTTTCGATTTTTGACAGCGTTATGTACGCTTTACTTCCCCTGAACTGTTTGTTGTCAAGTCTCTTGTTGCTTTAGTTAAATTGCGAAATGGAGTTTTTCTTTTTGTTCTTTGGTTGCGATATCTCTCTTTAACATATTTCGAAGCACAATATCCATCTTCATGAATGAAATTGCTATAAATGGCATTGATCTTCTTTAGAAAACGCCAAAATTAAACGATTCATTGCAAAAGTTAATATTTTAAAAATGCCAGAAACAAATTAAGATAAAAAAATACCCTTTTTTGATCTGGTAATAAAATAATCAAATCAAAAAGCAAAGTTGTACAATTTAAAAGCTAAAGAGTGAACTAAATTTCAACATATGAAAATATGACTTAAAAACATGTGGAAAGGTTCTTTACAATAATAAAGAAACCTGGTATAATTTAGCGTCTTGTTATAATGAAAACTCATAAATCTGAATTTCGGAATTAGGCATATTGCCTTTATTGGTTAACTCGTTTTCTACTGCTTATCAAACTATTTTAGTTTATCTAATGTCTGAAAATATTTTTAGATACTATTTTTAGAGTGTAAGAATTTCATTTTTGACAAATATTGTTTTAGTGATACAAGTCCTATTAATTAAGTTGTATATTTTCTTGAGAATAAGTTAGGAGATTCTTTTGTTTCTTAGTTTAAGAAAAATGTATATATGTAATGAAAGAAAATAGCACTGTAACCTACACAAATACTTTCACTGAAAATATTTTCCAGCCTTTTTACATATCTTAACTACCTATTCTTTACGTTTTGTTCTCGCTTATCAATCATCCTACGACCCACGTTTGGTATCCTGAAACATCTGGCCTTTCTCAAAACTAAAATAATCTATAAAAGGATGTTTTCACAAATTACGCGGTATTAAGGAAAATGTAATGCCACTGCCCATGGCATTCCTGGAAGCGAATTTTGCATTTTGGATGCTAGGACGTGTTTGTGTCAAAGTGAGTACTTTTGAAAGTAGGTAGGCTACTTTTAGTTCATATTAAATGTCATTTTCAGACAAAATTCGTGGTTGAAAGAATAGAAAAACAGTTTCGGAGAGGATTACAAAAGATCTTAAACTCTAATTGATGACGAGAGACATTTGAGCAGATAAATAGCGGCCTGCCCTTTTTATCGAATTATTTCAACTCAGGTAACAACAGGTAAACTTAGTCATATGAGAAGAATTTAATCAAGCATATCTAATCAGGAAGATGAATGTATGATTACTGCCTGACTTTATGACGCAATCATTTATAGGCGACGTCATTAGTCTTACAAAGGTCACAAGTCACTAAAGTGGAACAACCAGTGAAAATGAAACTCAGTATACTTGTAATAATTTGCGAAAATAACGCGCTGGTCATTGCTCGGTTGGTAATTGTGCAACTTATTTGAAATTTACTTAAAATTCATTTATGAATGAATCAATAAATCCGTAGCCTTAAACTAAAATATCAGCTGATTTTTTTTTTGATTTTTTTTTTTTTTTTTTGCATTTTGCTCTATCTGTAGATTTGAATGTTAAAAGAAAAAAAATAGCGAAAACTAGATAGAATTTTGTTTTCTCATTTCGCATTATGTCGCAACATTTCATACTAAAATAAGTGTTGTAAAAATGTCAAAAATGACTGCTAAGGTAATATCCAAAAAAACAATTTTACAAAGAGGGAAAATTCTGAAAATCTGCAAAATTTCAAATAAATCGTTAGAAATATAAATAGTGAATACTTTTCTCCTGAGATTTTATTAAAAAATCTGTTTTGGCTAAAAATATGCCATAAACTATCAAGTAATAACTAGGTAGGCTCTTGAAAAGCAATATTTAAGGCACTTATTCCGCCCCATAATAAGCAATATTTTACAGCAAATATATCGGCTATTGTGTTGATTTCAATCCTCTACGGTCAGTCAATACAAGCCAAGCTTACAATAGATAGATAGATAGATAGATAGATAGATAGATAGATAGATAGATAGATAGATAGATAGATTAGAAAGAGAAAGAGAAATAATAAAGGAAGTAAAATCAACAGCTCTACAAAATGACATGCAGTTTCAATATTTGATAAAGCAATTTCCTATTCATTAATTTTTCAACGTACACTATATTCTGATGCCCAATAATGTAAAGCAATCGTCTGTTGAGAGTTTGATACAGTCGGCCTATTTACATAAGATATCTCGAATACAAAGAGCTGAAAATTGAGAAATGCTGTTATTCTAACCTAGACGATGCTAATTTGGTTAACACTCAACTCGAGAACAAGGTGGCAGAGGATTAAATTAATAGAAACAAGTCTGGTTTGCTTGAGGACCTCAGGTCGTTCAGTCTCTCGCTCTCCTCCTCTTTCTCTTTCCATATCTCTCTCTCTCTTTCTCTCTCTCTTTTTCTCTCTATCTCTCTCTCTTTCTTTCTCTCTCTAGATCTGTCTAATTTTATCGTTTAAAATTTCAGCTTGTTCGCTTCATATCTTTTGATACATTCTCCCATATTTTCCTATAATTCTTTCATGCTTTACATATTTCAATAACTCGAAATTTGATTATGTATCTAAATTAATGTAGATATGCACTCATCTTCCATTGTCATTCTTATCTATCTATCTATCTATCTATCTATCTATCTATCTATCTATCTGTCTGTCTGTCTGTCTGTCCGTTTCTAAAGTTCTGCATTTCATTAACATTTATATTGGGTTTTCAGTTGTCTACTTTATATATTCTTCTTATCTAAATATATAACACAATTATATATTATATATTCTCTAATGCCTATGTGTATGTGCGTGCGTATTAATAGATATGAAATAATGGTAACAATGAATTATGTATGCAACAAATGCAGACGTCATTAAAAAGATAACTTAGAGAAATCACAAATATATATGAAGTGGAAAAGAGTAATGAACATAGACCTTTTAGTTAGTTTACATAACACACACGCAAAGGCAGACACAAAGACACACGCAAAAGCAGACACAAACACACACACACAATAATATATATATATATATATATATATATATATATATATATATATATATATATATATATATATATATAATAGAAGAAATCTGTTTTACGCAACAAATCTTTTTCGGCATCGTTTCCTTTTATGCTAATGTTCATAATTAAATCGTAAATTTCATAGAGCGAACATTTTACTGTTAAATTTTTCGGTTAAATGTAAATCTACGGAATTACTGATACTTCTCCGTATATATTATCTGTGTCTATCTGCATAAACTCTGCCTCATACATCCATCGCTATATTTGATATTGAATTTTTAGGAAACAAATGAAGATATTCATTGATATATTTGCTCTATAAATGTTTTGGATTTTTCACATATTATGAATAAATTATCAGAGACTAGATTTAAAGGAGCTGTAATTGTTAGCGAGCCGTTAACCATTACATCGTTAAGAAAGAGAAATCCAAGTTCTAATTAAAATCGAATTTGTTACATTCAATTTTCTCACAAAGAACCTTTGGAAAAAAATCTA